GTTTTGTTAAAAGACTTACGATGCACTATCCGCCTTAATGTTGTCCTCGCATTCTATCTCTCCACAGAAAGGCGCCAGTAATAAATTGTTTTTATTGAATTCGGTGATGAAATCATTCCAGTTTTCCACGAGCTTGGTACGCTCGTCGAATTTCGCTTTCGCTCTATATTTGGATAAATATTTATATAGACAAAATCATATTAACTAAATATATTACATTATACTGCGAATGCGTTGACGTCGAAAATAATTGTGAGCGATATTTACCTCTCAAACAAGCAGTTTTGTATATCATTTAATAACATGGTTAATTTTGAAATTACTGAATCTGCTTTAACCGTTTGTGCCTCGGAGGTATCTCTGCGCACCAACATTACTTCGTTGTTCGCAATTTCCTTCGGACCCAATTCGATTCTCACGGGTACGCCTTTCAGCTCCCAATGGCAATACTTCCATCCAACCGTTCGATTATTTCTCAAATCACCTTTCACTTTAATTCTACCACTTGAATTCCTGATTTTTTCAACCAGATTGAAGCACTCAGAAAAGATTTATGTTTCTGTTCCGGTGCTGTTTTTGCACTTATGCCACATGGAATAACAATCGCTTGTACAGGTGCAATATTTGGCGGTAATATTAAACCAGTATCGTCTCCATGCAACTAATTAAAAAAAATATATATATATATTCATTCTATAAAGTATAGTTAACATAAAATCATGTTATTTATATGCAATAGTGATTGTACAAACCATTATCATAACTCCGATCAGTCGTGTAGTTATGCCCCACGAGTTTTGATAAACGAATGTCTTTTCATTGCCTCCTGCGATATCTTCTACCTGTATATTAAACATTTTGGAGAAGTTTTGCCCCAAATGATGACTCGTTGCGCCCTGTATCGCGCGGCCGCTGGTCGGTAATACTTCGATATTTTTATCACTTAGGGAGGAGGATTTTTGAAACGCTTGAAAGCGATCATAATCGCTGAGCGGTTGTATCTCTTCGCGCGCTTGCATTCGGCGGCAGGCTGGATTGATACGCGCTTATTCGGACATCTTTAGTAATTAATAACTCAAATAACTATAAAATTTTAATATTTTTCTATGTAACATCTAAAAATTTAAATGAGTAAATAGCCAAACAAACGTAAGCGCGCGCCGCGCGGCTTCTCAGCGCCATCAGCGCACCTAACGTCAGAAACTTGCAGATTCCACCATCTGCACGAAGTACACTTTCTGTCCACTAATTAACTAACTACAGCAGTGCTCGGAATTAGTCTGAACATTTCAGCCGATTTCCGTGGTATACGCCTCCTTTCCTCTCCTTACCGCGCGCGCCGCAGCCGCTAGGGCCAGCGCCGCCGAGCGTTAGGAGCGACACTATCTGATTATGAGTGGGTTCTTTTCCCTATTTATTAAAATTTTAAAAAATGTATTAAAATTTATTAAAAATAAATTTTTTATTTTTAAATTTATTAAGTGGAAATATTTAAATAGATTTCCACGTCACCCATGAGATACTAATGCTGACGCGTTTTTTTTTAAATGGTTTCCCCCGTAGACCTATTCCACTAAAGATAAAAATAAATTCTTAATTAAAAAAAAATATATAAGTAA